CACATCATAAGAGAAAGGGTAACAACCGGAGAAGTTTGCTTGCCTTATGTCTGTTCAGAGTTGCAGTTAGCTGATGTCCTCACTAAAGGGGTGGCAAAGAACAAGCTTGAACATGATCTACGCAAGTTGGGAATGTGTGACATTTACTCCCAACTTGAGGGGGAGTGTTGAAGATTAATCAGTTTTGTGTTAATTTATGAGTAGATGTTTTATGTTAGTTGTTAGATAGGTGGTGGGGACCACAATAGTTATGTGAGTCGAAATTTTATTATGTTTTTGAGCCTTATATATGCTGTTTTATGTTATGCTACCCTGTAAGGGCATAGTTGTCTTTGTACTGCTCTTATATTTTTAGTATAAATAATAAGTGAAGGGGGGGCGGCCAGATGATTGCTCTCTTTTCTTTTCAAGATCTCTTCTTCTCTTCTTCTTTTTGTCTCTTCCTTCTCTCTTCAAGAAACTACTTTTTTTGTTCATATTTTTGAATTTAGCAGATTTCTACTTTGGGTACCACCGCCTCAGTTCAAGGTGAAGCTAAACTTTGATGGAAGCTCCTTGGGTAATCTAGGTCCGTTGGGAGTTGGGGGTGTGTACAGAAACGAGGAAGGAAAAGTCTTGGCCCTTTACTCGGGTCCAATTGGGGTGGGAGATTCATTAAGGCAAAAGTAATGGCCTTACTTCAAGGTTTGAAATTGGCAAAACAATGGGGCATGCATCAATTAGAAGTGGAAGGAGACTCCAAGCTGGTAATAGGGTGGATGCAAACTGGAAACCTGGGAGTGTGGTCTCTTAGACAGCCTCTAAAAAAGATTATTAGCTTAGCAAGGGAGATTGGGGTGCACTTTAATTGGGTAAGAAGGTCAGAAAATGGAATGGCTGACACTTTAGCTAAACAAGGAGTTACTAGGGAGGCTTTGTTTTGTGCCTGTTTGTAAGTTTTTGATTTTCTTTTTCCATCCTTTTTGTGGGTGGTAAGCCTATAATCTTTTTAATTATCTACTGAAAGTTACCGTTTCCTATAAAAAAAAAACATTGGTCATATGTTCTAAGGCTCCTGAGTCTATAATCTAGAGAGGTCCCCCCTACCTGTAGTGAAGGCATGATTTGCGATGGCATATGAACTACCTATATGTACAAATGAAGTAGAATGACTAGCTCATGAGCCACTTGCACCTTTTTGTCCACTCAGTGAAGAACTGGAACTAGTTGTATCTCTCAAACTTAGAAACTGTCCATATCTCTCTAACTCATCCCTAACTGCAACTACTGCAACTAACTCTAAAGAAGTTGTGGTAGGTGGTCCAAATAAGTCAAGTAGAAGATCAAGACTGTAATTAGTATTGAATCCTAATAGGTTTTAGGTTTACAAAATAGAAGAAAAGTGAGAGAAAGAAGAGAGAATAGAAGAGGAATAGGAGAACACAAGTGGTTGAAAGGAGGAACAGATTCTAACTAATCTGCCGCCGCCACTTTCTTATTATTTATAGGTTATGTTTAGTACACAATGGAAAGGACACATCTGCCCTTAGTACTTACATAATAAATAAAGTAAATAAAGCTGAAATAAATAACAACTGAATTAACAAACTGACTCAAACTGACACTACTATAACTGAAACAAATAACTACACATGCTGTCCTAGGAACACAGTGGGGACCACTGCAGTGGGGCCCACATCAGTGTTCTCTACAAGTCACTAGTCACTGCCATATTAGCATTCCCTTTCTTGTTTCTAAGCCGGCTTGGTATAAGATGTGGATGAAGCTTCTAACATGTATCTTTGGTATGCTTAGGCTTATTGCAGTAGTCACAGATCAAATCCTTTTTGTCCTCCTTCTTACTATCATTACCACCCTTATCACCACCGGGCTTAGGTTTCATTGTGCTAACCATAGCAGATAGCTCAAGGTTTAAGTTCCTTATCGTCACATTCTTCTTACTATCTTCTCCAGACACAAAGGCATATGTCTGAGAGAGAGGTATACTATCACGGGAATGAACATGTTATCATGATCAAACTCTAGGTTGAGTCCTACTAGAAGCTCAAACCCTATGTATACTATCTTCTCTACCAACTTTTGTTAAGTAGTTGCATCTTTATTACTCACCCAAACCACAACCTCCAAATGATCTATCTCCTGTCATAAGGTTTTGGAGGCTGAAAAATAAGTTGCAACAGATTTATCTCCCTGCCTAGTAGCAATTGGTAGGCCCTAGCAACATTCTCACTCTATGAGTAAGTCTCTGCAGCTCCATCCCAAACCTCCTTAGCTATGTTAGCCCATAAAAAGTTCTTGCTTATATGGGGTAACATAGAAATGCACAGCCAGGTCATCACCATGTAATTCTCATGTACCCACTAAGAAGAGTTAATCTCAGGTTTCTTCTCTTCACCGGTGGCATACCCCAATTTTCCACAAGCACTGATAGCCATTTTGGCTGATTGTGTTCACTCCAAATATTTTGTACCATCAAGCTTAGCTGTAGTGATGGCCCCTGCCCCAAATGGGTCACTAGCACCTCCTCTACCTAGTCCCATTTCGTTGGTAGACTTGTACTCAACTCCACTGCCCTCCATAATTCCCATAATAGTTTAGAAAATCAGCTGCAGATGAGAAAAAATAGATTTATCTCCTTTAGAGGCATCAACCAACCTTCTAGTACCCAGAAACCTCCACCCACAAAGATTCCTATCTCCGTGGGAGCTGGTAGAAACAGGAGTAAAGGCTGTCGCTCCCTCCAAAGACCTTAGAAAACTGCAGAATTTGAACCACTCCCTTCAGAAAACACCAAGAAGTCTAAAAAATCCTGAGCATCCCTTCCTAGGTAAAAAATAGAGTCCTGCAATTAGGACTTTTCTTCCTCCAGTTCTTCCTGATTTCAAGAATGGATTCTAGGTCCACCAAAAAATCCAAGAACTGGGCACCATGCAGTTGACTGATCTAGGTTTGCATGATGGTGAACTCAAAAAAAAAAAACCCAAAAGTTGCTTTGATACCAAATAGAAGAAGAGAAAATAGCAACCTGATTTGACAACAGTGAAAAAGAAGAAAGAAAGAGAGAGTTCTTCGTGAGAAGAGAAGAGGAGAAAGAGAAGAAGAGATGGGGAGAAGCCAATAATGATATGGTTGCCCCACTCAATGTCTTGTATACTCATAAAATATAATTGATTACAAAGACTAATATGCCCTTAATAGGCAGCTACTGCTAATAGCATAAAAACAGTCCCAAAAGACAATATAAACTAATGGGCCTTGGGCCCAATAACACTAACTAATGACCCAACAACACTCACTACTGATTATGAATGAGAAAAAAACATAAAAAACACTGCAGAATCTCAACACAATAGAATATAGAAGAAATGATATTGGGTAGGTACTCCAGTACTCCTAGATGTGTAACTGTCAACCAACTCTTCTAGGAGTGTATTTTTCTTGATACAAATTGCACATCCTCTAAAATTGACATTCCTATCTTTAACTCCCTCTAGTGGGAACACTTCAAATCTGATTCCTCTCACTGCTCTTCTACTTCTCATCAAATATTTTTGACTTTCAGAAGCTACGCAGGTGACCTATTAATAACTATTTCCTTTTCTATCGTGTACTGAAGTGCTAGGAAGTATTGATGCAATAATTATGTGTGTGGAGAGTCATGTAATTTATATGTTTCATTTTGCAATCAATATGTCAATTGTCAGACATCTAATAATCAGGATGATGCTATGCCAACTAAAACTGTAAAACCATAATAGCTACCGAGCCATGTCAAATCTTAAAAGGAGCCAAGCTACAAAGAGAATATGTTTTGGATATATCATCCATTGAAGAACCAATGGAGAAGGCTAAAAGTTTTAGTATTGCCAGAAGGATAAAGGGGAATAAGAATCATCAGCTAGTTCATATTATCAAAGTCTTCTCTAGACTAAAGTGCAGATTATGCAGAGCTGTTACCCTCAAAAAATTTAAGAAAGTATACACTATACAACAGAAGGGATTTTTTTTGAAGCCAAAAGAAGGGGAATCAGGGATAATTTCCATTCCTATGATCAGTTATCAGGGCAGCAGAATGCAGATCAAAATGAATTCATTCTTGGACAGTTTGACCACAATTGGATGATACAATTGTTGAAGCTACAAGGATCAAGAAGTGATTGTAACAAAGTCAAGGAATTTTTTGATAGTAAAGAAAAAAAGTCTATTCGAAGGTACCAACTAGCCTGCTCATATTAGAAAGAATATATGCAATCAAAAGAAAATATGTAAGTTGGCTATAAAATGAAATGAATTGTGTGTCTATATACATATATGTACATACATTGTACTTATATACATAAAAATAAAAAAATTATATTTATACTTTGACACTTGTGCCTCAAACCGCTTCGAGGCTTACGCCTCACCTCTTTGCCACCCAACCACCTCGCCCCTGCCTTTAGCCTTTTAAAACCTTGTGACATAGTCATTAAGAGTTTTGAGTGTTGGTGGTGGCTGATGCCTCTTCCTCTCAACTCCTTTGTCCTCTTTGTATCCTTTTGGTGATGCTATTAAGCTGAAATTCATTGTATGCTTGTTCCATAATCTAGTTCCTTGAGGTCTTGATTGACCTAAATCTTCTTCTGGATAGTTGGCAGTCATCCAAGTTCTATCTTTTACCACTATGAATAATTTGATTCATTATAGCACCAACAATTTATCTTGCCTTCATTCTTTTGAGGTTCCTTTCTGTTTTTGTATTATTTTTGGATAATTATGCATTTCTACAACATATTCTACAAGTAGGCAATAATGCCCCTTTAGAAACATATTTCTCTTGAAGGACAAAAAGTTGTTCCCTTTTTATCCAAAAGTTTTTGTGAGAGTAAGACATGTTACTAAATAATTTTATAAGTTCGTATTTGCTTTCCTATATAGAGTGTGCACCAAATGTTCCTTTTTATATGCATCTATTTCATGTTATAGATTTCCCCTTTTCTCTTTCCCCTTTATGAGTGCAGGCTATTACAGCCCTTAAGAAAGGAGCATATCTCTTAAAATATGGAAGGAGAGGGAAACCAAAGTTCTGTCCTTTTCGGCTTGCTAATGTAAGTTTCTAATTGCTAACATATGATTAACTGTTGTGTTTCCTATCTCATGATGTTTTCCTCAACATTGTGGTAGTGACTCATGGTTTCTAAATTGCAGTTTTCAACTGTTAACAGTGCTTGTTATGTATTCCATAACATGTAATATAGAAACCAGATTTGTTTTGTTGGCTACTGCACCTTTGGTTGTCTTCATGAAAGGAGAAAGAAATATAAACAGCCATTTGCTTCCCTTCACAACATTCTTGTCTTGTAACCTATATAGAAATTTTCCAATAGGGGAATATTAATTAAGCCTGCTTCAATTCTTGAATTTCAAGACCTAAGCATCTGATTTCCTGGAAGTAATGATGTACATATTTTGGGAAAATGAGATTTTGTGACAATGTACATTTTAATGGCATGTTGGATGACCTAACAAGTGGCATTTTACTTTCCCAATGCACTAATTGGAATTTCTCAATAAGGTGTTAGCAGAGTTAAAAACTGTTGTGGACCTGTTTCTCATATAAAATTAAATGGTGGGAAAACATGGAATAAGATGAACCCAAATCTTGAATATCATCACCTTTGGGTGTAATTGAACAAACATGCACTTAGAATGTAAAGCTTACATAGATTTGCGAGTAAAATTTAAGTATCGTAGATACAGAAAGCTTCAATTATCAAAAAAAAAAAGAGATACATGCTGCTTTGAGCAAAGTGTTCATGGTGCAGTGTAGTTTGTCCTTGAACTATGAGTGAAGCTAAAACTCTAGTGGCAAGACTCCAGGTTATGAGTTAGTTTTCTGTGGTTTCAATTATCAAAAAAAAAAAGAG